GTCTGCCACTGGAATAACAAATGAATTTGATGGCCTGCACAAGCGTTTCTGAGCAGAGAGTTGAGTTTTTTAAGAGCCCATGCATATCGTTTACACACTCATTTGTAAGTATTTCGTAGTAAACGAGTATTTTGTATTCGTGGTGACGTTGGAAACCAAGTTATTTGTAAGTTTCATGGGGTTCCATGAAGTAATCTTTTGGTTCATTATCAGTTTCCAAATTTATAATGCATATGACGCGAATGATATTCACTCTCCTGCACTTATCCAACACCGAATTTCATCTAAATGTCGTCAGTGAAACTTCTGCGTCACGTTTATTATTGTGCCGCATTGACTCTCAGTGTTCTGCATAGAGCTTCAGGTCATCCATGTAAGGATGATGTGAGAACGAGAAGAGTTGAGTTCCCCTTTTTAAGAGGCATTCCATAATTAGATGAATAGTTAAGTAGAGTAGAAGGGGATTCAAGGCTAACAGAACAAAAAGGTTAAAGAGTCACCCTGGAAAATCCCTCGCGGATGTGTAAGTATCCTTGTGTGACGGATTTTTTCCATTAAAGAGATAACAGTTTTGTCTCCATCGACTCATCGCAGTTTTCACGGAATTTGATAAAGGGTGGACCTGTATTACATCCAAAATTGAAAAGGAGCCAAAGAATGGGGCACGGTGTCGAAATGCTTTAGTTATCGTATCGTAAGCATTAGCGACAAGTACGCTTTGTTTGTCTTCTTCAAGCACCTTAGCCCCAGTATATTACAAGTCTATAATGAGTTGCTCCTTGGCTGATCCTGGATCCAAGGTCTACAATCCTTTTCTGTTCCATTTGCTAAGATGTTCTGTCCTAATGTGTGTCATTCATCTATTGCGGAAACACAAGGACATGTTATGAGGTATTGTAAAAAAAGTTGAGGCAGGTATAGCCTGTACTTTCGAAGGTCTTTGTGTCACCCTCCTTTATTTTATTATTTTATTATTATTATTATTATTTTATGATTATTATTATTATTATTATTACTTTTACTATTAATATGCTGTTAAGCCCTAGTTAACTCCATGGTGCAACACCTAGGGTCCCGTGGTGTAGTCCCGGGTTCGATTACCTGTCGGGGCAAACGTAGAGTTGTAGTTATCCTTTAAAATCGTCCCAGTTTCTGTAGCTGTGAGACGAAGAAAAACTCAGGCAGTCGAATCTTGCTAGTTACGGTGAAGGGAATACGTCATGTTCGACACATGTTCCTATGTCTCCCAAGCACGAGAAGTTAACTACTAAGGCATGGCAACATGCCAAATACCTAATGCAACATTATTGTTACGGTATTTTATAGAAATGTAAACACTTGACCACTGTTATGAAGCTGCTGACCAATGTTCCCGCAACAGCGTATGCCCCCCATATGAAGTCCCCGCGAACTTTTATACCGCCAAAAACTAAATCAGCTGCAGCTGTCACCCAATATCGCCGTCCGTCGGCCTCTCAACTAAAGTCATTTTAATACGAACTCTTGAAGCGCAAAGCAAATACATTGTTCGTTAAATCATACAACCAAAATCAATTGACAAATGTTACCTTCTCCGCATCCGTGGATAGCTTGTTTCTTACTTTAGAACCACCCAACAACTCCCTGAATTACCTTCCCCAAGGAATAGCCAAAATTCCTGTATCCTGAAATCACTACCAATTGGGTTTTAAATCAAAATTTCACAATACTTTCTAACGGCCTATATTCCGGGTCTCATGAACTCAACCCCGTCTCTCTCAACAACCTCGCGTCCATGGTAATCGATGCTCTTTCCCTCAATTGTTCTATACCACAAGTTCACAAACTCGTACAAAATGTAATTTTTATATCGTAACAGTGATCGTTTAGACGAGCATTCATTGACAATTATCGGCGAGAAAAAAATGTAATTATGTAATTACTTTTCAAAGGTTGCAAGACATTGCTGTATCAGAGAGATAACTTTACAGAGCGGGACACCTTATTTCTCGCAAATCATTGTTACAACACACGCACGGCTCAAGAAGCGAGATGAAATCTCTTCCCGTACCCTTACGAACATAAAGTAAATGAGTTTATTGCAGGGAGGAACCATCGACATATCGTTGCCTGAATATGCAAATGTACACTGTTTGCCGCCCTTCGTCAGGAAAGAGGAGCGCCGAAGAGCCGCAGGCCGGATCTTTTTCGTTATCCCCTCCACAGTACACCGCGGACGCGGGAATTCATTTTATAATAATTATATAATAAATTATTTTAGTGGACTATTGGCTTATGGCTAAAGTAGAAAAGGGACTTTTGCTAATAAGTAACCGAAACTTACTTAATTTTCACTTAAACTAATTGTACAGAATGTACGCTCTTATCATCAATATATCTTCATCAAAAAGCATCAACTATAAATATACATAGAATTCTATTAGCAAAATGCATCAATTACAAAAGCACCTAGATTTCTAGAAAAAAAATCATTTTTTCGCAAGCTCTCTCCTGTACGGGCCAGAAGAAAACAATTCCCGCCACCCAAAACTAGCTTCCAAATAATCGTAAATGTTAATATCTCTATTTTGGAGGAAGCGTGATTCACCTTGTTACTGCTCGAAGCCCATCACAAATATGAAGAATACTTACAGTAGCAAGACTTTCCTAATTTCCACCAAAATGGAGATATTAAAATTTACGAATAACGGTAGGTGGTTAGTATGACTCGTCTTGATACCGCCCAAGCTCTTCATGTCATTTTCTCCAAGAACTTTAACTCTCTCCTCTTTTTGTCGAACACCTTGGGTTTTCGAGGCTTGACAGCACCCTTCATTCAGTGGGCATTGCTGCAGCTTGCAAGACGCTCGACGCCGGCGCCGGGAAGGCGAGTGGGGCCAGCGGAAGACACATTCGGAAGGCGCAGGAGGGAAATTGAAAGGCCAGGCGATCCCGCGCAGGTCCCGCACCTGCCAAACCGGTCACAGCAGCGGCGAGGGCTCTGCCGCCGCGCCAAAACGGGCGCCCCATTCAATTTGGCGCCTTCCGCGTGAAGCGGGAGCCGGTGACGCGACGCCACGCGAAGCGCGCTTCGCGTGGGCGAGGACACTGGCAACCGGGAGGCGTCCTTAGGGATACCAGTTCGCATTCAAGGGGGTTTTCGACCACCAACAGCTAAAGCGTGTGAATAAACGGATTAAGTGCAGAACGTACAGTAGATGGTAATCGAGTAAGTTGTAACCTATTATTGGTATTAACCAATGTTAAGCGTTCAAGTAACTTTAAGTTGATAAAATTTCTCTAAAATTTCTGTAAAAGGCAACTATAGCGATTAATGTACATACATATTTATAATTTAATGAAAGTGTGAAATTCAGTTTTCATGTCATTTAATTCAGTAGAAATTATTTCGTACCAGTTACACTAGCAACATAAGTCAAGTCAAGTCGGTATTGTCGAGTTAAATTAAAGGAATAGTTTAAGTTGGTAGAGCTCAACGATACTCAGAGAAACAAAAGACAGACTCATCGTCGTTGGCTTGGAAATGCGCAAGAAAAACTAGTCAAATTGGCACATTAAATTCGTGATGCTTTTACATTTAGGTAACTTGATCCAACTACCGTGGAATTGGTACTTAACTACGTTGGAATGTACCTTGCTGGTTTCAAAAACAAAAAAACAAAAACAAAAACGGGTGCGTTAGTGATAGTCATTATTGATCTATAAAGTATTTTCGGTCAGTTTTAAATTGATTGATGCAAGTTCCCCTTCAATCTCTTCATATTTCTCAGTTTAATCCACAATGGAACTGAAATTGTTTTTCAGTTCATAACAATATGTTTACGGGAATACAAATTTAGTTACAACAAAAAATTACTTTTTAAAAATATCAAGAACAAAAGATAATGTTCAAAACTGCATATATATCGTTTCACTGATTCCCATATTTACGGGAAGTATCGATCCTTTACCGTTAATTGCATCAGCGTACAAAATCATGGTTCACTATTTACACTCATTTTGATTTGATTGTATTTGAAATTGATTGCTACATATCCTTCGTAGGGCACGGACCCCATCTCGAGTCACTGTATTGCGGTATGAATCTATCACAATCTATTATGGTCAAATGAAGTCTTTTCCACCTCCAAACGTGTTCTTCTACTCCAGGAATCTACACTGTTAACAGCATATTTCTGTTCGGGAGAGCTTAAATCGCTCATTAATTTTCCAATAATGCATTATTAAAGATTCTTCACATAGTAACCTGCTTTAAACTACTTGCATTAACATGAGCTAATGCATTAATTCATGAATATGGCCTAATTTATTACAGCAAAAGCTGCACGCTGGCGTATTCCGCACGTGTGAAGTTAGAGGTAATACGTGTTGATGATAAGTAGCCAGCAACACAAGTAAGTGAGAAACACGTTATGATATTGCACACGATGTCAGCTGATGAGATAAACAAATGTCTGCGACCTGAGATTCCAATGTTTAATATGGGCGCATTAATAAATTGTACCGATGAATGGCGTTCGCGCAAAAGTCACAGCTCAAGGAACTTGTACGGTGCTCGTTTTACACAGCAAATGCTGTATAAAATGCAATCGAACGTGTTCGTCAAGATTTGTTCATATTGTAGTATAGATAAATGAAATTCGAGGCAAATTATGAACAGTGCCTGGTATAACGTTCATAAAGGATAATAATATTAGACTCCACTTGAGATTCGTTTCCAACTCCCTTAATATTCCTGGAGTAGGTAAACTAATGTAATCGTGTACCTCAAAACGACAGACACACACTCTTCCCGGAAATGGAACATGAATTCTAGAATCCTTCAAAAAATGAAAAATATGTAAAATCCGTAATATTCCTAGTTCGTAATTTGATGAAGGGATTGAGAGATTCCAGAAATTTTAAGATTGAAATTACAGAAATAGTTTATTCCATCCAACCTCTACGTTTTTCCCTTCTTTTAAAAGCGCCCCTAGTAGTAAACAAAGATCCTTGTTAGTTTACATCACACGCGGCCGGTCCAAGCACAAAGTGCGGATGGCGCCCGTCCGTGCCATCCCCCTGGCGCGGAGCCACCTGCTTCCGGGGAGCGGGCTGGCGCCAGGGCTCCGTCTCCACGCGCGCAGCGCTGCCCTACGCTGGCCCTCGGCGCACGTGTTGCAGCGCTCGTACAGTTCGCGCGCGAAACGCCTGCACTCGGACGTCACTGAGGACGGAGACGACTACACTAAATGCCGTCTCAAAAACATTGACTTCCTATCTTTTCGGTTCGTAGCCACGTCAAAAAATGTTTGTATTACGTGTAAGAAAGCACATAAGAAAATCAATTAAACAAATTACTAACGCATGAACAACACATTTCTTATTATTGGCTTAGCAATTACAGTACCTAGCTTGCATTTGGCTGATGATAGTAATCGAGGTTTTCTGCACAGCGATACTACGCATAGATTAATAAACACGACCACCTAAAACAAACTCAAACTGCGCATACGCAGTGACACTCTCCTCGTGTATCTCTCTCACAATTTACCTGTCGTCGAGTGCACACATATATTAAGGCGGTTACACACATTCGGCATTCACCAAGCCGCGAGGTACAACTCGCCTAACTTCGGGGCGCGCTCACGAACAGCTGATGTGCTCGGTAAATGTTCGCTTCCTTTGCTGAGTCCTAAAGACCGACGCGCGTTGGGTAGGGCGAGCTCCGAATGTTAGTCGCTCGGCAAACAGCAAGCATGCCATCAATACAATACTCGGAATTCGGCGAAGAGTCGCTCGCTACTCACCGAATAACGAATGTGTGGAGCCGCCGTAACGTGCATAGGAAGAGGCAAGGCGTGCCACAAGATCGTAATTGGAGACGAGCAAATGAATTGTATGCGGGTATAATGGAGACGAATTTGCACGAGTTCTCGATTGTCATGGAACAATTACATTTCACATATGAAAGGATGAATAAACATCACTTCAAAAAAATTGTTAACTCAAACATAATTAACAAACAATATTCACAAATAATATTTAACAAATAATATTCTAGACCTTTGCAATTGCTTTTTTATAATTTTCAAATAACAAAAAACCTTTTAACATACCTAAGAACATAAAAAATATTGAAAAATAATTATTTTCAAATCATGAAATCTCTATAGAATTGTGAAATATGCTAGCCTTCTGAGTACCAAATGAGCTTCCCACCTGAGTGGAGAAGAAGTTTCTCGAAGCTGGAAATGGGCCGGCAGCAGTTCGAGAACTCACCTGCAACAAAAGAGCGCTACATAAATAACCTGCCTGTAGGCACATTCCGTAGGCGGAGGAACACACAGGGCCTGGGTGTAGGTCTGGGTGGGACGAGCTTATTTTAAGGCTCTCGAACATCAAATTAAGCAAAGGAACTTCATACTATGAAATACACACTGCTCTTTACGATTATCTATTTATGTGCTTTTATACTTAGAATGTTATGTTTCTGTAGAGGTTGTGAATCTACACAACGTTGAGGGTAACGGTTACCATACCTTATTGTATCGTAAAAAACTTGATATCCGCTAAGCCACATGATATTGAGAATTCGTCTATCGAAGTACAATCCGTGTAGTATCTTTGTAGACGATGATAACGGCTAAGCCATTAAAAACTGCATCAAACTGATAACGAAAATAAAAATGTTCGTAACGACGATGATGATTAGTGATGTTCACACTTCATTGGATCAACAAGTTAGGCATTTGGATATCTTTACACTGACATCATTTTTCATTTACAATGTGTAAATTTCATTTTGAAATCAGACTTGTTTTCATAAAGAGTTGCTTCTCCTCTTTGGTGCCTTGACCCCTATCCTGCAACCTCAACGCGATGCTCGCGCCGCCAAAAGGGATGTCACATCGGCAACAATCGATGTTTGAAAAAACGATGTTCAAACTTTAAAAATAGATGTTCAAAATACATCGACACAAAACCATCTGTGTAAAACTAATTTAGTAACCTCTAACATCAGAGTTCATATGCAGGGGAGGAGGCATTTTCATATTACGGTGGTCGGGCTTATTAATTTATAAATGATTCTTTGCTGAGAATACAAGGTTTAAAAAATTTGGAAAATTAACAAAACGTTTAATATCTTTTAGAATAACACAAACACCACATGTTTCAACAAAAATTCGACTAACTTATTTCTTACTCTTGGTGACTTTGGTCTAAAAAAAGTCCAAATTATAGATATCTCAAAATATAGTTTTTTATTATATTTTTTCAACCAGAATCAATATATCGATTTTAAATTTATTGATGTTTGTTTAAAAAGATCAGTTTTGAAAGCATCGACGACGACGACGACGCGGGGGGGCGGGCGAGAGGCGCCGGAGACTTCAACGCCCCAGGCGCCACATACGGAGCGCCCGCGGGGGAGGAGGCGGCGGGGCGGGGGAAGGGGAGGGGCGATAGCGGGCGGGCGATCGTTAAACAGTCGTTAGGCGCGCCACCGCCACCGAGCGGACGGGTGGGCGAAAGGGCGATCTCGCGACGCGGGCGGCCGGAAACGCTCCTTCACCAACCGCCAGAGCGCTCAAGGCAAGCAACCGCTCCACACTATGATACCTGTTCCGTAAATGATACAGAATAAACAGGGCACAATAATAGTTAGTTTGTTTTTTGAGCAGCCATTTTTAAGTTGTACCGCCCACATATGGGTGCCGCACAAATTAAGTTGTACCGCGACACCACCTTGATGGTGGCAAGTTTGTAGATCCCGTCCGGCGCGAAAATGGCTGATGGAATTTGTTATTTGCCCGGCCCAGAGTTGGGGCTACTAATATACAACATAAGAAATCTCCTAGGAGTGCAACACTGATTGCTTGTATAAAGTAATGCAGAATAATGTTGTAATATGTGTCACAGTAGTTGCCAAAATTGCTCTTTCGTTCTGTTACTGTCGGTAGAAAAAGATGTTTTTAATTGTTTTCCGACTAATTGCAACTAAATTGAGTTGAATAACGGCATAGTGCGGTGCTATATTTTTAAACTGCGATATAATGTTTGGAAGAAAAGAATAGGAATAAAAGCGCAGGGACTCCTCCCGAAAACCAAAGTGTAGTCACCGCTTCTAGAAATTCCAACGACAAATAAACTCTTTCGGAGAATTAAACTGTATGACACAGCGTGAATCGTGAGGTTTCTTCCCTGCAAAGGAGAGTTGGCAGTCCGGTTCTGCGGCTTCTCTGCGCTTTAAACACACATCGTGCACACCTCACATTTAACGTAGCGGCCAAAAGGTCAGCAGTTCAAGAGGCAGATCTGCAGCCCAACGTCAACAGAGTCAAGAGCAGAATGGTTCACAGCTTAGTCACGAATTGCATTGTACGATGAAAACAAGAATTAAAAAAAAAAAAAAAACTACACAGTATCCGAAGTCAATAACACTCCCTTTAGATCCAATTCGTAAACCTCAGTGTCACGCAAATAATCCCGCTAAAACGTGCATATCTATAGAACTTTCGAATTAACCTTTCTCTTGTTTTTAAAAAAAATATTATAACTGTATCATCATTAAAGTTCTTTTAATGCTACGAGGGTTTTTGTTGTTTCAAATGTTATATAGATCGTAGAAATCTACTAAACGTCCATTGCACTAGCTCTCATTGGTTATTTCACGACACATTTGATACTCGATAATTTTGGAAACACTGAGTGTGGGTTTTTTTTTTCAACTCCATAATGGCGCATTAAGTCTTCTTTTAGATACTTTATATATAACAAAAAATCTATTCTCTTTTTTGTAATATCACTTTTTACCAAAATATCTTCAATACCATAGATAGCTACCACCAATGTGATAAGATTCAGAGATTATCTTTGCAGGGTTTCAGCAAATACATGTGATTCCTTTATCATCGAAATTTGTTCTGACTTAAAGAAATCATTTTTTAAAAGATAAAACAAATATGTAAATACAACTTCGCCTTGTACCAGTTTCTACGAAATGAAGTTGAAATCACACTTCCCATAAACCCCACTTCCCAACCACCTCTGGTTTCGCGCTACCACGTGCGTGTTTTTCGCAGGATTTGCAAAAAAAGCAAGGAAAAGAAAAGGAGTATGTGACTCGCGCAGAGGCAGAAAAAAGTATGTTAAATTAGCTTGTTTGAAAACATATCATGTTTATTCGTGAGAATGAATTTCAAAAAAAAATAAACTCCCCGGCCTTAAAGGCAATTCTCCTGTAGCGCAAATAGTTCCACTCAGTCACGAAAAGACCACAGCAGGGTTTTACGAGCGTCAGCATAAAAGAGAAAGAACGACATTCGGAGTTAACGAGGCAGCATTACGGAGACGGGAACCAGTACTCCAGCGGGCCCGCCTGTACCACCTGCCTGCCGAGCGAGCCTTCGAATACCGGAAAGGGAACGTGCCCCCGCTCGTCCCCTCCCGCCCCCGCTGCGCGTGCCACCTCGCCCCCCCCCGCCCCCACCGCTCCGCTTACCGCAGGGACAGGGCCGCCCGCGCGCGGCGCTCAACCACATGAATCCGGGGCTTTAGTAGCTGTCGGCCGCCGACAAGAAGCGTATTGTATAAGCGGGGATCGTGGCGAGGTGCGGGGAGGAGGAAGTTGGCGGTGGGCGACAGGACCTAGGTTGGGAATGAAGTTGAAATGGGGTAGTATGGGCCGAGATGGCGCGAGGTTAGGATGAGGTGAGGTGAGGTGTGGTGGGACGGGAATGGCTGGAAGAGGGCGGGAACACATAGGAGGAAAATGAAACTAGACGGGGTGGCAAGAGAAAACACAGGAAGAGACGTCATGAAACGGTTTGGAGGGGGGGTAGACGGAGGCAATGCTTCACAAGATGAGGCGATTGATTGATTATTCCGTGCTTCGTGTGCGTAAACTATGGTCATTAGACCCGTCAATGTAGTGCGTGCAGTTTTTATCACGAGAGGTTAATGTGTTCACTCCTGGTATGCGAGAACCAACGACGATCTTCTTGCGGGGTCTCCCTCACTCAGGTATCTCCCACCAGCAGGCAACCGCCCCAGCTGGGACAAGTTCTAAGCTTCCTACATGTGCGTAAGTGTAAGTAGGTGTAAGAAATGGGTACGAGGAAGAGAAAAGAATTACGCGCGGTCGGAAAGACCGATTTTTAGGGTTCGGCTCAGGCCATTACCTGGTGAGGAACTATGTAAAACCGATTTTTAGGGTTCGGCTCAGGCCATTACCTGGTGAGGAACTATGTAAAACAACAGATCAGAGCAGCCGGCTGCTAGAATTGTAGTCGAGACAGCGGCTGAATTCGACCTAGCCATCTAGTCGGGTACGGACATGTGTCTACCGTCGAACCTCGCGGACAGAGGCACCATGCGCACCGGCGCCCTGCGCTTCCCCAGCGGTTGACGGGACGAGACGGGGCGCGATGGAAGTGGAAGGGAAGGGCTGCGCTGGAACGAGGCTGTGCGGGGAGGGACGGCGTGGCAGTGGCGGATCCGGGAGGAAGGCATGGGAACCAAGCCCTCTCCCCCCAAAAAGACCTAAAGTTTTCGTTTATTCCCTTCCTTTATTTGGCAAAATTGCTTTAAATATTTTATATAATTCTATATTTAGTATCACATATACACTACAAAATAATATACAACACAATAACAAATGTTTCTTATTTAACAAAAATCTATGAAGATGCTCTCCAACATGATTGGCTGGATCCGCCCCTTGCGGCGAGGGCCGGTAGTGGTAGTGCGGGGCCGGAGCGGGGCGAGGCAGGACGGAACGGTTCACAGCGAGAAGGGACGGAGGTGTGCGGCGCGGGGGAGAACGACGCGAGGCGGAGAGAGGCGCGTCTCCGGCGCGAAGCGACCGGGCCTCGCGGCATTCCACCCGCGCCTCCTCCACGCAGCTGGGCTGATGCGGAGACGCGCGCGCGCACGCTTCTACAACTACCCGGAGCGCGCGCACAAGCGAGTTTAAAGCAGTCGAACCGACAAGCCATTCCAGTAACCTAGCCGTATAACGCACAGGAAATAATGAAGGGTTAAACGAGATGGCAATAACAAACCACGTGTGATGGAGCAGATAACTAACGATTAGCAGGATTCTTGTGGATGTGAAAAGACGGGTTAATAAACGAGGATGACAAACATAGGCGGAAACCAAAGTGAACTTAGTTAACTGGTGCGGCGGCGATGGTGTAACGGTTAGCGTACTGGAGTTAGCGGGTTCAAACCCGATCGAAGCCGTGGATTTTTAAGGGCGAAAAAATCCTTCATACGCCTTCCTTCGGAGGGGAAGTAAAGCCGGCTGTCCCATGTTCGTAGATTTACTTACATGTAAAAGATCCTCAAGCCTAAATGACGCCTCTGAGCTAAATTCAAATCGCCGGTTTCTCGCCCAAGATATGCCTCCTTTCTCCGCTAGTTGGTGAAAGGAGCGTAGCGTGGTCAGACGGAAGAGCAGGCCTAATGGCCTGAGTCTCGCCACGTAAAATAAGGCATTCAATTCAAAATTCAAATTCAATTAACCCGACGACTCTTAAACAAAAGTACTGACGTACTGATTAATCTGAATATAGAAAACCTTGTCACTTCTTCGTATCTTCCGAGTCTTTTGAAGGACGTCTACATAATTATTTCAGTTTCCTCCACCACGTACCATGGTTCTCCACTCTGGCACCGAAGAGGCCCACGGGCGCGCATTTTCGATGGGAACTAATTAATTTCACTCTCGCGTAACCGGCGAACCCCTACATGGAAGCAGATAAATAGCCATTGTCGGAACAATGGTCATGGCTAGGTAGCGATCCGCTGTGTCTCGTTGCACCGTTGAGACACGAGCACCGTACAGCTTATGGGTTGTGTGCGACCTCCCCCCGATGAAGAGGAGTTACTCTAAAAAGAGACCAATTTCACAGGTCGGAAAACAAATGAACGTCATGCAGGACCAGGTGGATATAGACAGGACAATTGGGGATCGTCAAACGCCCCCCCCCCCGGTACGCCGGCTCCTCGGCCCTTCAGGAATTGTTCTCTGCAACGCCGCGAAGTCGTGCCGGATGAAGCGCCCGTATATCTTCGGGGAGGCGCTATCTGGCACAGGGGCGCCCGCCCGCCCGCCCGCCCGCCACCGGCCCATCGCCCGTCTTCGCCCGCCCGAGCGGAACGCGCTGCGCCCACGCCCGCGCCCATCTGCCGCGCGGCGGCGCCTCCCGCCCAGCCACGACCCCACGACTCGCCCTCCACCACGTGCTCAAACAGCCACGGGAAGGAAGCTGCTCCATGGGAAAATGCTGCACACAGGAACAACAACTCCCTTGGGATAAAATTCACTGACAACCATTCATTTACAAAGATAAATGACGACTGGCATTCTCAAAGGAACATTTTTTAAAAATTTATTTCTGCTTGACCCGAAGACCCCCAGCAGCCGAGTAGGATACATTTAGAGTACACTGAATAATACTGACGTTGTTTCAGAAACATGATTAATGAATACATTGATTACATGGACACGTTAGTGTATTCAATAAATAATTGTTTTTGAATTAAATGAGCGAAACCACATCAGGTACATGATGGTCAGGGAGGGTCGAAGAGCTGTCACGGTAATTTCCGCTTTAGCTTATTATGGCGAGGATTTTGTTTTCCAATTCTAAAATATACGGCTCAGGGAGTCTGGAAGATTTTGCTATAGTTGCGAGAGAATAGGAAGGAGCAATAGACGGAGATGGGGGTAATGGCGACTTAGTTATGTAACTGGGAATTAGGTAAAAATCAGGGTGCCTTTATTCGGAGGAATTTGTTATGGAAAATCTGAATTTTTCAGAAATTTGATTTGGTAGCCATGGTCCAGATAGGAGAAGCGTAGAATAAAATTAGACGGATCATTGATTGGTATAGGTGAGTAGCAACACGAACTCGCTAGGTGATGACGTTTTGGGTATGAGATGGTGCGTTCTACGGTTGACCAGAGTTATTCTGTGAAGGACATTTGACTTCCAAGTGAGTCTCCTAAAGTAACAAAATGCGGAAGGCTCTTCACAGAGCGACTCGCGATGATGAGGTCTGACCAGCCGCCTCTACCGTTGCAAGCGGGGGTTAATTCCCGCTAGGACCTCGAGGAATGAATGAGTGGCTGAGGGCTGATACCCTAGGGGCTGTGGCACCTTGGCAAGAGCACGTCCAAATGCTGCACCGGGAGCAAACAGTTCCTTCTTCGGCCGCAGAAGCGACGTTCCTCACGGAGAAGGTTATGGTTGAAAACAGCAAACGACATTTTAATCAGAAGATATAGTTTTAGAGTTGAAAGTTAGATTCAATGTTTCAGTGCGTAGACTATACCTGAAGTGCGCGTGACCAGAGCGTAACAAGTAATGAATATGACCTCTTTGTTACAGCATACATTCTTCCAGAAAATTAAAGCGGAAATTTGAGCGGAAATTAAGAGAATTTTCGAGTAAATATAAAAAAAGCCACATACTTAAATTCAAAACTATTACTATATTAACAATATTAAAATTAATCGGCACAGCGAAATACAGATAAGAATCTTTGCGGCAGCAAATATATTCAGCCACAGGGTCCATCGCAAAAGCGAGGTCAAAACCTCTGCTTCAAAGCGCCGCTGGAGTGGATAGCGAAATGTCTCATTTCGGTCCTTAACTGCCGCGGACGCCTACTGACACGAGAGCCCAGACCCAACGACCTGGTAGGGGCGGCTGGAGCGGAGAGGCGTCGCAATGGACGCCAAGAAATGCGTTATTTTCCGACGCGCCCAACCACACATGCACTCCAGCACAGGCACGAAATAAATAACACCTCATATAAACACATCAAGCGGCATAGTTTTCTGAGAAGTTAATGGAGTTCGAGTAGAAACGAATATTAACATCGGGCTTCTCTAAAGTTCAATACATTCAATGACTACGTGAAATGTATGTTTAATTAAACATGACAAAAGGATATAATTTAAGAATGTCTACGCTTAAACATAGCTCTTGCATATGAATTAATTTGCTTATGTAAATCGAGCATGTTTTTGCATTTCTATTCTAGAAGCACTGAACAATAATATCCCTAAGTTCCAAATTAACCTTACGTTCGAAAGGAATGTAAGAAATAACACTGTTCAAAATGAAAAATATAGATAATATCCGATATGTGACACATGAGAGCTTTTATCAGCTAATATATTGTGGAAATATGACACTGTTTGGAACTGAAGAAAATTTTGTTCACCCATTTTAGAGCACAAATTAATGCTCCCTTTCAACATTCCACACGGACTGACCGGGATTTCAATTCAGGTACCCAGAGGTGGCTAGTGAGTTGACCGCTACGTTGTAAATCGTCCAGAGATGATCATAATGGGAACAAAGAGAGGGATTGGCATTCTCGGCGATTCCAGTGCCGGCACGTTTTGCCGGCCGGGCGATCTGGCGGGCCTGTCACCGGCCCGGGTTCGCAAGCGCGGGGCGGGCGGAGAGCGGGGTGGGACGAGAGTGAGGCGACACGGCGGGGATGGGGACGGGGCGGGACGGCCCGGGCAGAGCGTCCTGCCCGCCGGACATCGTTAATCTTCGCGCAGCCTTTGACAAGTCTATTACGGGGACGCATTACGGGGCGTGACGTCACGCCGAGCCCAGCGGGACTCCACGCGCGCCCACCCACACCCGCCCGCCCCGCGGCCGTAAATAAAGGGGTCTCGCGCGCGGGCCCGAGCCGCTCCGGCCAACAACGGACCCACGGCCTCCACTGCGATATGGTCCGTTTCAGGCTTCTGACTTTTTGTCAGGTTTCAGAAACCTGTCAGATGTTGTGACATGTTTCTCAAACGGCTGAGCACTGCCGCCGAAGACCGCATCGCTCCGCGAAATATATTCTTCCACCAGCCAGATGAGGCTAGTGCGAGATATTAATTCCTCCAAGAGTATCAGTTTAGTGTGTAAATATGAGATTTGATGGGTAGTTTTCACGAGTGTTTTACATTATTTTTGATGTCTTCACTAAAGAAGAATAGATGTAAATCGTGTCGAAAAGCAGATGAGTATATATAATGGGCGTGAATTAAGTAATCAAACGGTGTAATCGGACATGCCATAATTTCTGAGTTTCTAACAGCGCCAGAATTTTTTACTTTCATGATTTTAATTAAACGTCAATAGACTAAATTTTAAGCACAGAATTACGCATGTAAATAATATTTATTAAAAAGATAGTTTAAAAATTGTATTGTTTTTTACCTGCATAAATATCATGAAAACATTATCGAGTTCTCGCAGTGACAAAAATAAGAGGGGATTCAACAGTTCTAGGACGTGTTGGCAAACGTGAATGAAATGAAGGCAAATTATTTGTAAGAGTTACTAGCTGACCACGCTGCATAATTTGGTTTGGCATCAATAGGAGTCAAAACGGTCACATGACTGGATAGACAATTCATGTTAGCATAGTCAATCATATTGATGTAAAAATGGCGTGTCCAAGGTCTGACAATATTCTATGCAATTTAATCGAGGTGAACAAACCAAGTAATGCATATGTTGAGTAGATACACGTGTTATTAATACTTCAATTTGCGCTGTCAGCACTGTTGGCTGAATGACCTGACTACTGAAATCCTTTTTCAAGTTAACGTGACTCAGGCAGTGTGCTTAATCACGAGTGAGGAATCATTCACAAGAATAAAGCAAATTCTAAGCTTGACAATCATTTAAAAAGTAAAATTACAATCCTTCAACACGATAAATGACTTCTAATTACAATTTAATTATACAAATAAGCTTGCCATTGAATATACACAATACAATTGTCAAAGAATATATACAATACATTCTAAATTATTGGTAAACTTTGATTGCGAAATTTTATAAAATAATAACTACAAACACAACATAATTGTAATCTGAGAATTGACAGAGAACATGGAAAGAAGAATGTTGAGGCACAAGTACTTTCTCATGATGGGTTGTACCGAGAAGAACTGCGATTCCTCAATCCCCGAATGAAATTTGTCGCAATGCACTCTGGGAGCGACGAAGTAGTTCGGACGTGGTTCCTGGGGCAAATCGGCCACGCCCCTTCACGCAGATCAAGGCAACACAGGTCCGCACGCGCACGGACTCCAGTTCCCCTCGCTTCAACAAGCGCGGAAATCGCAGGTCTGTCGCGGGACAATGGACAACGGGACGCGGATAGGAACGCAGCAGAGATTCGTTCCCGGCGCAGGGGATGTGCAGCTGAAGTGATGTAATTAGCATTGTTAGGTAGAGGCAAGAGGGTCTTTCGCCTGTAAAGTAATGTTATTAAAAACGAAACGCATCATTGAATTGGGTTTAGTAAAAAGCCTGAAAAAATAAAATCATTAAATTCAACGTATTATTTGTAACTCGCTTAATTTCGAACATACAGACCTTCAGCGTTTTAAGATAAATATTTTTCAGTTTTTTAATTCTATGTGGTTAGGGAAAAGAGCGATTCTGATGGCCCGAGGATCGTGACATCAATAAAACATTATTATTATTATTATTATTATTATTATTATTATTATTGCTATTATTATTTGGTATCCATATAACCACCAAATATGTTTCCATCAGAAATTATGTCTAAAAAATGAAAACATTACAAAGTCTTGGACGTACAAATCTGGAGATTTCCTAGTCGAATTCGTTTTCGTGGTCGCTTTTGCCTGACGACACAACTGCGTAAATACGAAACTACTTAGGTTTTGTACATCAAATCATACTCAAAACTACATCAGCGGGGAAATAAATGTCATTTTCGAAATGCAATGTCACCGGATTTGCAGTAATTTAAACACGACATCAAACTACAGCAATGACTCATTATGTATGTGTGGGAGTTTCTCGACAATACACCAAGAAAAGGAACTCCCACATAATACAGAACAAGGTCAATCAAGAATTCCGTATTGTTCGTACAAATTTAGTTTGTATCATGACACATAATCATCTACACACTACAATGATTTCTCATTTTGCAATAAAAATGTTACGAAAGTGAATCACTAAGATGAAAGGTTATCGAAAATACCCGGGGAAACAACACCTCCAGAGAATTATGAAATAATTAAAGAACAATTTCGATGAATAAAGAGCGTGTTACGCAGGACACCTGGCGCAAGGCGAATTGTGAGGTGCGTTGTGTGGCAGTTTGAAGGAGCGCAGACGTCCCGGGGGCGCACGGCGTTGTTGGCCGACAGGCTGCCCGACTGCGCCGCTGCTTTACTTTGCGCTTCACCTGGCTGCGCGTGTGCGGGGGCGTGTGCGGGAGCGTGGGCGTGGGCGTGGACGGGGGGCGGTGCCCCGGAGCGTGAGCGGCGCTGTGTGCAAAGGAGTGGGCCACGGCGAGAGCGGCCACCGGCGCGGCGGCGGCGGCGGCGGGGCGGGCGGGGCGGGCGCGGCGTCTGCGTTGAGCCGCGCTGCGGTGCCCCAGGAAAGAATAAAGGCGAGACGCCTTGTTGCATCCTCCGCATGGGCACCCCGAGGCCTGCGGTCGGGCGTCGTGCGCAGCCACGCTACTCCACGCCCTTATGTAGCGGCGGACAGCCACAGGGGGTGACCGAGGCGAGCGAGGGTGAGCCAGCTGCCAGAGTGGGTTGTGATGGCGAAGCGAAAGCGGAGTAGTGAGGTGCGATGGCAGTGCCAGAGTGTCGGGCAGGCGAAGCGAGCCACGCCACGGAGCGGCCAGCCGCGCAAAAAGCGGACCGCCCGGCTCTCGGCCGCGCGTGCCGCGGCCTTATCGGAACCCATCGCCCAATCAATAACGGCCCGCTGCCCAGCCGCCGTTATTAGTCCAACACACACACACACACAAACACCTCGCCATCTTGATAGCTACCCTGCCCCCCACGCCGCCGGGCGGGTAATTGAAAGAAATCGAAACGCCTGTCAAAATCAACTTCGTGATTGGATGAGATGGATCTATTAGCGGGTTGCCGTTCCACAAATTAATCGCTGCGCTCGTTTCTCCTAAGTGCTTCGTAATTACGCCGTCACATTACCTCCCGCTCCGCACGTGATTTCCACTCGGATGCTCGTGCCCTCGCAGGTTCGCCCCGATGCACACGGTCAGACCGGAGCCAGTGCGAGTGTGCATCTGGAAGCGCAATCTGGGTTGAGACGCGGCGGGCAGCGCCAGACTATAGTGCTCGGGTCGGCGACGCACGTCCACCGTAATGGAGCTACCCAGTCGCCCGATTTCTTCCTCATTCGATGCGCTTCAGCCACTGGAACAAACCGCGCCGAGACGTCGCGGCAAACGACATTTTCAACGCTGGCTCCCCTTTCATCTTCGCTGCCCCAAGCCTACGAGGAACGCGGACGTTTGTTTACATAAAAAACACGTTCCATACCTTTGCATTCAAAATAGATGAAGTGAAAAGTGCAAGTGATTATTTTTAATTATATATTTGTCTAGCTTCATAGAAAGATCTCAAATATTACATCTTCGGAATTCTTGTGACGTTTTTAAATAAAAATCGCCGAAAATGTTGTTTTTAAACAGAGATAAGTATTATCACCAGGTACGCTTCGATGGTGTAGATTGTATCTAAATATGTCTCGTATATTCGGTACACGAAATATATAATTATAATCAATAACTGAAAAATCATTATATTCCGTGCTTACAAACATGAAATAGTGAACTATACTTTGTCCTAAAAGATCAGCATTCAGTACTTTCTATGCAGTTCATTTACGAGCCATCTTCCACGCTCATAACGTCCGGCCAATATTTCTTCTAGTTATCGCCGTTGCATTCTTTTGAAGAAGTATTTTAAGACCTCGTTCTGACTCCGATCCTTCAGAGCATAACTCAATGGAACGAAAGCAACGGGAATGCGGCCGACCGCTCGAATGAAGCACCGACGCTGATATACTTATCAGCGAGAACAAGCGTCGACTTTCGTTCCAAATGACGTCTTGAAAGGGCGTTTTTTCAGCAGAAGCAGCATCTCGACCGACGGCCTTACTGGAGATTGCCCGCGGCGGGGGAGGGGGCGGCAGGGGCCCATTCGGCCGCCGCACAGTGCTCTGGAATACGCAAAACAACTTAATAAATAATTTGTTGTTGTTTTTAATTATTGATTATTACTTGTGCCATACTACTTTTAACAGTCCTATTTTGATCACTCTTGATATCCTTTGTTTTAGACCCCGACGCTAATAGATTTCGAGTCTAGGGATACGTTCATGTTTTTTCTCCTCCGTCCTCTTTCTTAACAGTCTTTCTTTCTTCACTTCTCTTCTCTTAAACTCTTCGACATTGCTTTCCCTCTTCATTTTCTTCTTCACTTTTCCATATGGGTATTCAAAGTAGATACCTGGATAGATACCTAGTTCTTCTAGGTGTAGTGAAACAAATAGAAAATCCTGCGAGCCCAGTAGCAATCATTACACTTGTGTAATGATACATAGAAACAGCCTTCATGACGCGTCTTTCCTTCGATGTCATGGATATTGCCTTCGGGCTAAGGCAGGCTAGACCCCCAGGACCCGAGAGCGGTCACTGGCGATGGTTGCTCTGACCAATCCCCGCTAACCTC